TTGTGTTTTACTAGTTTTAACAAATATGCTTATCGGCAGTTTAACGTAACCGAATCAAGCATATGCAGTACACGATAAGAGTATAAAGCAGCTTTTAAACACATCTGTTATGTTCGGTTTAATTTTAATACGTAAAATTTGTTTTCAGAGCACAGTAGTTGCTTCTGCCATCATAAGCCGTAAAAAGCACACCATGCCTCTCAAGTTCGCAGCCAACATCTCAATGATGTTCCAAGAGATACCAACATTAGAAGGTCGATATGCTGCAGCCAAAAACGCAGGGTTTAAATATGTTGAACTCACTTTTCCCTATGGTGAACCAGTCGATAAACTGAAAATTGCAAGAGAAGCTGCTGGGTTGGAGCAAGTACTCATCAATGCATTTCCAGGTCAGTGCCACACACGTCATTACTTGAAGTACCAGTCGTTGTCTTTATGTAATGCACTGTGTCGTGAAGTGAATACGTCATCAGTTGCATTCATTTAGCTAATTAGGTGCCATCTTCGCAATGAAGGTTGTCTGCATTGTATCTTCAGTGCCATCTGTCCCTCGTCCTGGCTAGACACTCCATGACTGCTGTCCTGGGTCCATCTCTTGATTTATCCGCCCACTTGTCTTTGTCTGTCTCTTACTTTCTAGCCTTTATCTCCTCCCTTCAGTATGTTTTTATTTTTTTTATTTTATATTTTTACTGGGGCATTTTTCCTTGTGGTAGGCAGTAGCAGTACCATAATATTTTTGTAAGGCCTCATTATTGCCAGCTGTAATGCAAACTTTGAGGTGATGGCAGATCTAGTCATCTTCTTGTGGGATGTAATTTTTCGTTATTTTGAAGCCCCACCTGGCTCTTGCCAGGGGTTGCAATATAACCCGACCAAAATATGGTCTAATGGCTGAACGCTGTGTCTGGGACCTCTCCACAAGTGATACTTATCCACATGGTGGCACTTTGTGTCATTGGATATTTATTGTTTGTGTGATGTCCTAGTGGGGTAAAGTCTACCACTACCACTACTACTACTACTACTACTGAGGTGATTTCACTGTTTTTCCCTCACAGACATCCCTGATCTCTGCCATTGCTAGGCTCAAGCCTAGATGAGAAAGGAGAAGGATTAGGCAAGGGGGCCAGCCCCCCATCTTGTAAAAGCATCCTGTTACAGAAAAAAGCAGGAAAGGAAGCCATTCCAGTGAATGTTAAATGCATTCAAAAACAGAAGCCTGAGGAAACTGGTGAACATTAAATGGCATGCACTCAAGAGGGTGAAGAAATCCAGGAAATGGGCAACCACTAGTAACAAAAGTTATCAAGAAGATGGCGCTATAGTGGACACATCCTGAGAAGAAATGAGCAGAGAATCACCAAACAGGCACAACATGAGAAATACGAGTAAAAGGATTGAGAAAGCAAGAGTGTCCAAAATAAACTCTGAAATGACTGATGATGAGAGAGGCCAAATGTGCTGGACGGAAATCCATCCTCGACATCCAAAGGATTGCATACCATAGAACAGAATGGAGGAATAGACTGTGAGCCCTATTTGACATATAATGGCACAACAAAACAATTGTATGATGATGATTAAAAACAAGGCAAGGAAATATAAAAAATGTATGAATAACCACTGGTATCTACAGTTTTAAGACAAAGAAGATCATGCTGTATTGGGAATAATGTGCAGAAGGGGACAGAGAATCACCAGACAAGTGAATGGGAAACAATGAACTCAGGAAACAGATGCTCAAGAAAAAACCTATTAAAATGTTAATGAGAGAGGCCAAAGGTGTTGGACTGGATTCCATCTGTGAAATCAAAAGATTACACAGGATAGAAAGCAATGAAAGAATTGACAATGAGCTCTGTGTGATGCTATAACAAGATGGTAGTGATGATGGTGGTTTTTAGAAGTGTTTTATCCTAATATGGCCAAAACATTTCGCTTGTCTCTTTGTTATTTTGTCAGTCAACTCTCTTTTTATTCCTACTTTATTCAGAATAACTGTATTTGATTGTTTTTGTTTCTATGAATAATGACCTGTTCTTCTGTACATCTGCATTGCTAGCAATGAGGGATTTGTTGGTTCTGCCAGAGTTGCAGATAACCGGCTAATGGATCATACTAACATTGTTAATGTCATAAGAGATGATGATTGAAGGGTTTAGTAGGCTGTTTATCAACATCACTCTAAGAATAAGAGAGCTCAGAGTAAAGATTGGCAAACCAGGCATGAGAGGCACACCATATGTGGTGAGAAGTCTTGTCAGCCAGCATAGAGCTGGTACTGTTAACTGCACAAAACTGATTTTTACTGTAGAAGGAATCTGAGCACCTAGACATACACGAAGCTCTGTGAAAGTGTCTCAGGTGATCAATCAAAGTTACTCTTTCAATGTAATTCTGTGTATAAGTCTCAAATGATTATGAATTTTGATAATGTTATTCCGCTTAATGAATTATTTGCCATGATTCCCCATAGAATTGTGTTTAAATTAATAGGTGATCTTAAGAATGGTGATCTTGGTCTTGCTGCTCAGCCAACTCGAGTGCAGGAATTTAAAGAAGGGTTGGAGACATCTATAACATATGCAAAGGCTCTGAGGTGCAAACGGTAAGTGAATTTCGTAACTACCAGAAAAATTATGTCTTAAAAGTAAATTAACTTTTGATAGTCAGGTATAATATAAACTTTTGCGATATTATGGATTGTATTACATGTTGAAAATAAAAATTCCTAAAAGACTGCCATTATTAATTATTTTAAGTAATGAAGTCTATGGCAAATATCCCAGTCATGTGTAAGACACTTCATTCAAGTTCACTTGACTGTTTCACTTCTTGAAGATTTTCCAGCAAAATTTCACCTAATCATAATTCTCCCCCCCCCCCCCCCCAACCTCCCCCCCTTCCCCAAAATACTAATGGAAATAAAACTACTCCATGATACTTGTTTTGTAGAAAACAAAAATAGGGCACAAGTCTTGAGCAACCCGATTTCTTTGAAGCTTTAAACCTTAAAGCTAAGAAAGTGTATAATATGTTAGGGAAAGATGTAAAGGAGACAGTTATACAGAATTGTTCAGCAACAACCAATCAGATAAAGAGATTAGTCATATTCGATTGTTTGGCCGAGTTGTTAAGTCATATTCAATTGTTTGGCAGAATTGTTAAGTCATATTTTATTGTTTGGCAGAATTGTTAAGTTATATTTGATTGTTTTGCAGAATTGTTCAGTCACATTCGATTGTTTGGCAGAATTGTTAAGTCATATTTAATTGTTTGGCAGAATTGTAAAGTCATATTCTGTTGTTTGGCATAGTTGTTAGTCATATTCAATTGTTTGGCAGAATTATTATCTGACTACACCAGTCAAAGAACTAGCAGCAGTGCTCTTTAATTTAAATGTCTGTAACGCAAGGTACCACTTCAATTGTTTGAGAGACAAATTCTGTCTTTATTCCATAGCTGTGGATTTCAAGCTGTTCTATAGACATGGCTAACAAAGACACCTTTCTGGGGTGCTTAGTTGGTCATGCACTTAGTACACTTGTTTCTACAGCGAGGCATATTTGTTGATTAGAGTTGACAGGTTTGATTCCCTGTACAGTAACTATAGCTTTTGATTTTTATGTTTTCGCGTGGGTCCGTTTATTTTTCTACTTCTTTCTATGGGTGCATACATTGTTTGTTTATTATATACACATAGTTTGAATAAAAATATTGCTGTTATTCATTGCAACTTTAGAGCATCTTTATATTTCTTCTTGGTCCATTGTGAGCTTACCTGACTGCATCAAGTTAATCACAGAAGATGTTTATTGGTACTACTTGCGTGGGGTGTAAGTAGTAAAGTTGACCCATCTCATCTGTATTTTGCGTAATATTGTAGATGAGATAACTATGATTTATACATAAGTTAGAGTTTCAGTGGGCCAGTCTCACTTCTAATTCCTATTCTGTTTAGTCCAGATATAATTAAACTGGCTGGAGTAGAAACCTTGCAAGGGATAACCACAGTGACTTTTGTATCTTTGTTTTGCTCTGAGTGCTCCACTTGCCACCTTTCTGCATGTTAATCAACTGGTGATTGATAGTCTTCCCTCTTGTAAAGACAAGTTCTAGGTTTTGGGGACTTTAGCAAAGTCAACCTTAAAATGGGCTATGCTTCATACAGCTACTAAGAGCCACGTATGAGAACTAAGCACCAGTTTGGACTAACAATGATATAATTACCTAAATTGGAATAAATCCTATCCTCTCATCAGAGACACCACCATTATTTAATATCCCAAGCACTCAGTATGTCTACTCTCATAACATCAGTAAAAATAAGTGTCAAAGGTCAGTATAAATTATCTTTTGAAGTTGGAGAGCATCTTGCATCCTCCACTATTTCCAAGAATTTCACTTGTGGTCTCCTACCACTGTCAGTCTTGTATTTTGGAGTTTAAACTGTTCTGCTTCAACAGAGATATCACAGATAGATTCTTTCACAAATTGTTGAGCAAAATTATTATATCCTGAGCCAATTAAATGTTTACTTGATATGTGTTTATTGTTATTTAGCCCATTAGGTAATATTGGAATGATACTTGATGTGGAGTAATGGAGACTAACCAAATGCTACCACTGTGTATTGAAATTGAAACGATTTTAAACCCTGCAAGCAGATACTGTTCACACTAAAGGAACATGAAATACCTCCTGGAATGAGTTCTACTACATATTGGTTGTGGTTATCTGTTAAAGCGTATCCAGCCAGAGAACAGTGGATTTGTATACTTTACTATCCACTGAAGGAGGTAGCTGATCTGTGGGCATAATTGTGTGGCGTGATGTTGGTTCTGTTGATCAGTAAGCAATAATAAGAATCCAATTAAAATCCTGCAGTATAAAATGCAAGTCAGTATTCCTTTAACAGCTACAATAAACTCTGCAGCAAAAGTTAATATTTGAAGGTGTATATAATTCATTAACTGTCCTAATTGTATGTTTTCAAGAATGCATATAATGGCAGGCCTCATTCCAGAAGGCGCAAGTGCTACAGAAAAGGAGAAAATGATGACCACATATTTAGATAACATCACTTATGCAGCTGACCGGCTGAGTCGGGTATGTATGGGTTCATTATTTTGTTTGTTCTTTTGTGTTCAGTATTTTTAATACTTTTGCTTAACAAAATCCATTTTCAAATATTGGAAATTTATGTATTTTCTTAGCAGTGGAATAGTCTCTGTAATTAAATAATATCTGACAGAGATTTTCATTATGAGGGACTGTAACTTCTATAAGACTCAGCTACTTTCATTCCTGATACATTTTGGTTGTTGAGTAATGTAATTGTGTTATTTTAACTAGGCTCTACTTATCATGGCTGTGCTCAGCAATGGCATTTATCTAGCTCAGGGGTTTTCAGCATTTTCAGGTGCCCCCCCCCCTCCCCCTGCCTGAATTGATGACAAGAACCCCCACAACCCCTCTTTTTTTCCCAGCTTAAAAAATATGATAAAAAAAGAAGAATCATCAACAACTGGTAATTCAATGTCCAGATTTTGGTGTCATGGTCAAACTGTTTGATGATATCTCCTTTTGGGGGACGGAAAAGGGGGGGGGGGGGGGGGGGTTGATATTGGACAAGGAACAAAAAAAAAAAAAAAAAAAGATCACTCTCCATATTAAGCTGGCAGTGCTGTTTTGTTTTTATGACTGTTAAAACTAAAAATATGAATTTACAAATGTATGTAGAAGAAAATAGAAAATAGCCAAACAACATTTATTGCTAATTTGGCCACATGAGACGACATTGCAAGATACTGCAGCCAATAAAATCAAAGCCTAAAAATGTGAAATCATTTTTAGTCCTTGAATTACACTTCAGCTCAATTGCTTCTTCTTGAATAGACTGTGGCGGTATATCAGTGTCAATAATTAAAGGATTTCTGGTTAGCTTCATGGACCAATCATCAAATTAAAGACTGGGAAAACTGCATTCCTCTATTTGTGACTGAATTTCAAATGCAAGTTCATTTTTTTTACATTCCTTATTTTCCAGCAGTTCATTAAGGTAAGGAAAAGGTGAGTTCTTGGATTCAGTTCCTCGTTTCCATAACTCAGTTTTTCTATAAAAGCTCTGATAGCATCATAGGATAAATTAATGTTGTCAGTTTTTTTAAAAGTTCTAACTTCAAGTTAAGAAGAAATCAGTAAGATATGGCAGTGAAAAGACAAATGAGTTTTCAGTAAATGCATGAGAAAGACACTTCAACCTCAGATTTCAATTAGTACATTCGAGCCGGTATACTTCGCTTTGATAACCAATGAACTTCAGTATAAAATAACTAAACATTTGTGGGGCTTTGTTCTTGCAAAGAACATAAGAGTCTTGTGTTCGATGAGCTTGGGGTGAAAAGGTGGGGGGGGGGGGGGGGGGATAGAGAGGAGGGGGTGTTAGGCAGGTTGAAAATCACTGATCTAGATAAGGTTTTACTTCTGACCCTTACATCATTGCAGTTGCACTTTAAGCCGGTTGAAACTTGCTGATAAACAGTAAAGTGATTGGTATAATTTACAGAAGGAAAAATAACAAAACTACAGAAAACTAAACATGTATTTTATTACTACCCAGCAGCAGACCAGAAGGGAAAACTTTGTACTCATTGTATAAAGAAAGATGTGAACGAATGATGTGCTGGAGACATTTTAGCATAAAGAGACGGCAACAAGAGAGTAGTCTGTGATCAGAAATAGATAAGCAGAGATAGATGGTAGCCAAAAACAATCAACTGCTGTGAGGTGTGGTAATGCAGTTACTAGTATCCCAATCAAGACAGATTAAAAAAATATACCTGGACTCCCAGTTGTCTCAGTCTGAAAAAGGTACTAGGAAATGTCTTGGGAAATAAAAGAGGGTGATAGTGAGCCAACTGCAGTTTTAAGACTGAGCACATAAGATGCAGAAGTGCACAATAATTCTGTACATGACATAAAATAAAGATAAAAAATAAATTTTTCAAATGTATATACAGTATTCTGTTCCCCATTATGAGGGACTGTAACTTCTATAACACTCACGTGCACTGATGAAGTCATGTACTTTGACAGTAAACTATTCTGTGTCACATTTTCAGGAAGGTATACTTGCACTAATTGAACCGGTCAACAATAGGATATCAGTACCACGCTACTTTCTTTCTGTTCCAAGTGAAGGTAGAATATATTATACTGAAGTTATTGTTATTCTGAATTCATCATCATCATCACCAGTCAGATAGTCAGAGTGTGATGCCTGAGTTTTTGTCTAACTGATCACTAATAACATCTCTAGGAAGCAAAGCTGCAGCTAACCACTACAGTGACACCTGATTACAAAACAGCATCTTGGCTCATCACAAGACAAACAATACAAGTCACTCAATGTTAGGCTGACTACATTTTTATTTAACTCTTTAAGGCCCACAGCTGAAATGTTAATGCCATTTTTTACAAGGACACTCTAGACCATTTTTTGGTCGAACAACCCTTTCACAGGGGTCACATAAAGACCATCAGAAAACGCATATTTATCAAAGTTATGAAGGAAAAAAATTGTATGAGGGTCACCACAACATGAGGAAACTATATAAAGGGTGACCACAACATGAGGCAGCTATATAAAGGGTCGCCACAACATGAGGGAACTGTTTTAAATGGTCGCCACAACATGAGGGAACTGTATTAAAGGGTCGCCACAACATGAGGGAACTATATTAAATAGTCGCCACAACATGAGGGAACTATATTAAAGAGTTTTGGCATAAGGAAGGTTGAAAGCCACTGCTCTAGAAAAACTGCATCAAGCTATAAGTGATTGGTTTACATTTTGAAACTAGAGTGAAACAGTGATATATCTGATCTCTTCTGTTATTTTGGTATAGTTATTGACTGGGTGATTAAAAAACATTGTTGTACTGGAAACACTAGCATTGATTTGGGAGAGAAGATACTATTGGAAACACTAGCATTGATTTGGGAGAGAAGATACTATTGGAAACACTAGCATTGATTTGGGAGAGAAGATACTATTGGAAACACTAGCATTGATTTGGGAGAGAAGATACTATTGGAAACACTAGCATTGTACTGGAAACACTAGCATTGATTTGGGAGAGAAGATACTATTGGAAACACTAGCATTGATTTGGGAGAGAAGATACTATTGGAAACACTAGCATTGATTTGGGAGAGAAGATACTATTGGAAACACTAGCATTGATTTGGGAGAGAAGATACTATTGGAAACACTAGCATTGATTTGGGAGAGAAGATACTATTGGAAACACTAGCATTGATTTGGGAGAGAAGATACTATTGGAAACACTAGCATTGATTTGGGAGAGAAGATACTATTGGAAACACTAGCATTGTACTGGAAACACTAGCATTGATTTGGGAGAGAAGATACTATTGGAAACACTAGCATTGATTTGGGAGAGAAGATACTATACATTGATAGAGAAGATTTGATTTGGGAGAAAGATACTAGGAAACATTGATTTGGGAGAGAAGATACTATTGGAAACACTAGCATTGATTTGGGAGAGAAGATACTATCTAAAGATCTCAACTCTGCAGATTGTATTGTTCTGCTAAGTGAGAGCAGCAATGACATGCACAGAAAAACAGAAAAACAGAAAAACAGAAACAGTTTCACAAAAACAAAAAACATTGTATACAAAATTGAGCTGTAAATAAATTATGAAAGGACAAATATATATATTTTTTTTCTGAGCCAGAAGCACTTAAGCATAGCTCATTTCACTCAGTGTCATGAGCATCGAAGCCCTTCAGCCTCTGTGCCAGGTACACCGTTATTCTTGGGATATTTGGCTTTTCTGCCAACCCGCAGCTCGAACCCGAGACCGGACACGCATGAGGATTGTCACCTGACATCCAACTCGCTATCAACTACAATCAGTCAACAAAGGAGCTAAAGCAACAGAACAGTTCACTTTTTTAGTTTTTTAGGTAGTAATCTTGATAATCAAGGTGTCATAAAACCACCTCAGTGATTTCAGAATGTATTTGTTCAGTAATGTCGTTCTTTAATTTAAAAGAAAATAATTATAAATTTGAAACACAATAGTCCCCAAAACTACTCCATGGGGGATTACAAACCATTTCCAGTTCTCAGACCTACATCTGTGCATGTATAGTCACATGTGTGCACATGAATAAAGTACTGCATATGCCTGGTGCACCCTTGAACAAGGTAAAAACACCTTGAAAAGTACACTGAAAACCCTTGAAAAAAAGTAGATAAATTTGGCTATGAACCCTGATTAATATTATCTGCCTTCTGCACCATTTCACTTCAGTGGATCTTACCCTGTTGAGATATCTTATCAGTTCATGAAGTAGTGTTTGCAGCTAACCTTAGATATGCTTCCAACCTGAATATTTTCAGCCTGTGTTAGAAGATTGTAGATATCTAGAATGTTTGTTTGTTAATAAAACTGATAACATTATATTTCAGGCAAAACCAAATGTGGTTGTTATTTTCCCATGAGTGCATAAAAAAATCAGTATTTTAATGTCTATATTGCATACCAATCTTGCTATTCTTATATGTACTCAAATTCCTTAGTACTGCATTTAGTTGAGTTGAGTCGAGAATTGACATCACAGCATGCTCCGTCCTCATCTTCAGCAGCCAGTGCAGAGTTACAATACTGACGGTATCGGTCACAATCTAGTTAAAAGTCTGTCTTGGCTTTCCTCTGAGTGTAGTGAGCTGTCCAGACTTTTGGTTACACCCAGGTGCCTCATTCTCTCCAGGCCATAATAATCTTCTTTCTCTACTGATTCCGTTGCTTGTTCCCAAAGGGCCTTGACCACATCTGCCCTGTCATTTATCAATTCACCACCCAGTGGTGCGGATCTAGCCAGTCAGTCTCCCTGTTCATTACCCACCACGTTGGCATGGCCTGGAGAAAAGATCCAAAGTATGCTCACCACCCATGACCTTTCCAGTGAAGCTAGCCACTCTGCTAGAAAAATCCCTATCTTTACCTGTTTCAGCATGCTTTCAGAGTCTGTTATAATTAAGACATGTGTATGCATCTTGTTCTCTAGCCACCGGAGAGCTGCAGTTACCGGCTCCACCTCCATTCTAATGCTAGATGTTGTGATGTCATATGCTAGGCTGTCTTGCACTAAAGATTTTCCATTGGCTTTCGCTACGAACCCCCAGGCTCTTCTCTTTCCTCTCAACACTGAGTACTGCATTTATTTACAGTATAATTATTATAATATATAAACAGATAAACAAGTAGTAAAAAAGGGATTTGTTTTGTCCCCTGACTTCTTCTCTCCCTATAACAAGATAATATTGAGAGAGATCAAAGATACACAAGAAATTATAGTGGACTGTTGTAATGTAAACAAGGTACATTATGCAGATAACACAGAATTGATTGCTAAAAATGCAGACGATCTGCAACAATTATTGGACATTGTAGTCAGGGAGAGTGCAAAAATAAAGAAAACGGAGGTAATGATTATATCAAAGAAAACAATAAAATCACAGTAATATATGAATAAAAGGTAAAAATATTCATCCAATTCGATAAATTCAAATACCTGGGTACAGTCATAATATCAGACGGAAGATGTCTGTCAGACGTTAAGAGCAGAATAGGCCAGACACAGAATGAAGAACATCTTATGCAACAGGTTCCTCTCTTTGGATATCCGAAAGAGATTACTAAAATGTTACTTATAACCTATATTGCTGTATGTTAGTGAATCATGGAACGTGAATGCACTGCACAAATTAGAAAGAACTTGGAGGTGACGAAGATGTTGTTTATCGGATGAATGTTCAAAATCCCTTGGACTGCCAGAGTAACTAACGAAGATTGCTTGAAGGAAGCTAATGAAATAATATCAATATTTACAGCTATAAGGAAAAGACGTGATGAGGGGGAAGGCTTTAGAGAATATTGTAATGACTCGGAAGATCAATGGTAGAAGAGGGAGAGGCAGACTGAGAGAGATGTGATGAATGGATTGCGACAGTGGCACGGAGAGATATCATTAGTGGAACTGATCCAGAAGACAAGGGACCAAGATCTGTGGAGATGCATGAATGTCCATGCCGGTCGGCAGGGCACATGATGATGATGATGATGATACTCATTATACATTCAGGCAATCTTACCTCATTATTATATCAGCTTCAGTATCATTATACTACACTCACTCATAGATATTTGTTTATATACCCTTCTGTTGTACTATTCATTGAGAACTGTCATGGTCGAGTTCTGCCAATCTCACATTGAGTAATGAATCTGCTCATGCCCATTTTCAATTGGATTGGTTGGAAATCATTGATATCCCTCCTCTAATGCGGTTGGAAATGTTTGCTGTGATCCAATTCTCCCAGGGGGCATCTGTGACCTTAGATCAGTTGGTTGACCCTCTGATGCAGTGATCAAACACCATAAAGATGCTATTAATTCTCATCATCCCGTAACACTACGTGTTGTTGGGTCACCAGTTTCTGTTGACTGTCTGATCAACTCTCTCTACTTTTGGCGGTCAGTTGCGATGGACTTCATGGTTGCATGCCTAAGGCTTGTCCAGTCAGTCAGGTTCTGTAACCAGGTCTTTCTTGATCTGCCTCTTCTCCTCTTTCCCTCTACTGAGCCCTGAGAGGCCGTAAGATCTTTTTACATGTCCATACCATTGCATTTTTCACCTTTTCACTGAGTTAAAAGAGGTTCATAGTTGCCAGTGTGCTGTATAATTTTATGGTGAACCTCTTCGTTTGTAATGTGGTATTATATGCCAAGAATTTTTTCTGAAACATTGCCTTTCTAATGCTTGTATCTTTCTTTCAAGTTCAGCTGTTAAGGTCCACGTTTCACAGCCATATGCTAGTGCTCTCAACAATCGATCTTAGTTTTGCATGAAATGTTTTTCAATCTCCATAATGTTTGCTGCTTGGCAAGGACTGATGTTGTCTGGGAAATCCTAGACGTGATTTCTGGTCTTCATTCCAAGTCACTTAAAATGGATCCTAAATATTTGAAATGAGTCACTTGTTCTAATGTGTGGGGCCTAAACGTAGATTGGTGAAATTCTGCCAGCTGGATTATTAGTCATTACTTTTGTTTTTTCTGCGTTTATTTTCGTGCTATACTTGGCTGATGTTTCATCGAGTAGATTTACAAGCTCGACTAGCTCTTGTTCTTCTCTGGCCAACCCATCAATGTCATCTGCAAACCTAAAGTTTGTTATAGTTCGACCTCTTAAACTAACCATAATGTTGTTCTAGGGCATCAGTTATAATTATTTCTAAAAATATGTTAAACAGTGTTGGAGAGAGGAGGCAGGCCTGCCAAAATCCTACTGTTGCTATTAATCATTTGCTGTATTGCTGGAAGGGAGACATTTGGGTGTCAAATTTTTGGATTATTTTGACTTCCCTTTAAATAAAATATCACTTTAACATGAAAATAAAGACCCTATATATAAAAAGATCTGTATGTTTATGGACTGCCGTAATGCAATAGCTAACAGGCTTGCTTGTCTGCTGGGTGGTCATACGTTTCAACTCCAAATGTCTTTCCCTAAAATCCATTGAAAACAACCTTTTCCACAGGTCACACGTAATTAAAAAAAAAAAATTTATTGATATACATTTTGTAAATTTTGTTTAAAATGCGTAAAGGGGGCAAATAGTAAGCATGAACAGAGTGAAGCGTTGAAGTAAATACATTTTCCAGGGCCAAAAAATAAGTATCAGGTGACTCATGTTATGACCCTGTGACCTCTAACACTGATGCAGTGGAATTGGAACATGTCTACCACATTGTTTCAGTAAATGTGTCATGGATATACACATTGCAACCATTAATCCTCTCGCCCTGGGAAGCCCAGAACCTGGTTTTCCCGACATTATCACATTTACATAAAAATCCCTAAATAGGACTGCAGGAACCTGTTTCTGAAAAGCATTGTTTTATATTATTGGTTCTGTTTGTGAATGCACAGCATTTTGTAGACCAGAATATGAATATACACACATATTTAAGGGTTTTTCTTGTGAATCAGCTTTGTTAAAGCAATGTTGAGGTCCTTATGGCACAGTGATGCAGGATACAAGACTTTTACGTGTCTCATCAGTGCTCATTTTAGGGTTTTGTTTTGACCCCACTTCCTCAATCCCTTTCTTTCTCATTTTAGTGCCTGCTTGGTGATTCTCTGCTTATTTCTTCTCACAATATGTCCAGTAATTCTTCTTCTTTGTTTTATAAACGTTACCAATGGTTTGCTCAGACATTATGTTATTTCTTCACCCCTCTTGAATTCATCCCATTTTATGTTCAAATTTTCTTCAGTCATTTGTATTCAGGTGTATTAAACTTTTGTTTCGTGTATTTAGTGGTTCTTCAGCTTTCACTGGCATATGGAAAAATTGAAATACCATTCGAAATGAAAATATGTAACTTCGTTTTAAAACTATACAGCTTTTAAAAGCTTCTGATGCCTTGCCAGTACATGAGTTTATGTCTGTTTTTAATGCCTACCAAAATTACTACCTAAATGAGTAAACTGAGCTGCTACTTTTGCTTGATCTGTTAATGATATATTTAATATATTTGTCATTTCATAACTTTTGATGTCATGTTTGCTGAATCACCTGATTTTCTTTGCATGCCATTGTTTTTACTTTGAACAATATCATCTGCAAATTAGAGAACCTCTGGTGGTGTATTCTCCCTCCACTCAGTCAGTACCAGTGATTCCAATACCAGATTTGTCAGCATCCTGTCAGTGGTCATGCCAAATGAAAGAATAGCTCAGATGCATCTCTGTTTCACTCCAGTTTCAGCTGCAAACAAATCATTTAATCCATCATGCTTTTGCACTGGACACTCTGAGCCTTCAGACACTGCTTTCATAATATCTGCTATTGTCAGTGGTATACCGCATCATTGATAAATTCCCCACAGTGATGTTCTGTGTGTGATGTTCTGTGTGTGATGTTCTGTGTATGATGTTCTGTGTGTGATGTTCTGTGTGATGTTCTGTGTGTGATGTTCTCTGTGTGATGTTCTTTGTGTGATGTTTTGTGTGATGTTTTGTGTGTGAAATTATGTGTGATGTTCTGTGTGTGATGTTCTGTGTATGATCTATGTGTGATGTTCTGTGTAAGCTGACAGAAAATATACATTTGATTATTTATTTAAATATAATTTGAAATAATTGCAAAAAACTGTATCACATTATTTGATACAACTTTTTTTCAAAACAGGTCTTGAGATAGTCAAGAAAGTAAATCATCCCAATTTGAAGTTACAGTTTGTAAGTATGACATACTTTAATACAAATTGTGATGTTTTAGTCATCAGTGTAATTTTTAAAGATATTTCATATTCTATAAATCTTATGGGAAAAAAGTCCATTATTTCAGAATGTAATGAATTTAACCTTTTTGACCCTAAAGAGTCTTTTTTTAAAAAAAATCAATTTTTTTCAAAATGTTGTTAAAATGAAAGGCATCCTTATAATTCTACTAACTCTTGAGAAAATAGATGAAGTTAGTAGGGGTAAAAAACTTTGAGTTTTGGTCAACTTTAATAAAAGTCCAAGGGGACCTATGACCACTGAACAGACAGGCAAGTGTGATGGGGGGGGGGGGGGGGGGGGGGGGGGGGTGTGTAAAATATAATCATACACCTCACGTCTACACACTGTGCAGAAGATGCAACCAGTACCAAAGCTGTTGTTTAAGAGTATTGGCCACTGCCGAAAGATTTCATGTTATCAAAGACCAGTAAATGAGAGGAGTGGCTGGCCAAACGGCTAGATAGTTGGGCTTTCAAGCGGAAGTTCCTTCGTTCACTGCATGTTTCCAACATGCAACATGACATTACATCCTTTGTTTGGGGGAGGGGGGGGGGGGGCAATGAAGCTCCGGAACCAACAGAGGGGAAAAGAATTATTATAACAATGATTACTTCAAGTTTTGTAAATGTAGATTTTCACTGTTAAAACGGTTACTTTGTGCATGGCATATTTGGTTCATTGCACAATGAAATTATTTTTTTAAGTTTTATTATTTTATGTTCCTTAATAGGATATTTTCCATGTGCAAATAATGGATGGAAATTTAACCAAAAATATCCAGAATTATCTGCCCTATGTAGGTAAGTAAATATCACTGACCAGTGTGTCTCTTGTTTTAGACCAACTAATATTCCCACTTGATAGTAGCATCAGATCTTGAATGCCTCAAAATAGCTTTCATGTTTATTAAAGATTATCACTCACACATCTGTTATAGTATTTATTTGTTTTTATTTAGTTTCTCATTGGCAGTTGCAATACTTAAAGGATTCTTGACTATTGACTTGGAAGGTGTCTACTAAATATTTATCTTCATACCCGGATTAATGTGTATGTATGTGTGTGTGTGTGTGTGTGTGTGTGTGTGTGTGTGTGTGTGTGAGTGCATGCATGTATGCGTGCGTTCACGCATGTGCGTGGTGAGGGTGGGGGGGGAGGAATGGGTAAATCAGCCCTTGCTATTTTTTCATAAAATTGTATGCAATGTGATTGCTATACAATATCATTTTGATAATTATTAATAAATAATTAACATCAAATTAGTATTAGAACATTAAAGAAGCGGCTGGCAGAGCGGTTACAACATCAGGCTCTCATTTGGGAGACCTGGGTTCGAGCCATGTAAGGTGATGGAGTTTTTCTGTTGGGGGCAAAATTAAACATCCTAGCCTGCACAGTCGGTGGTGACAGCACTAGCCATGCGGCCTTAAATCCTCGAACTCACAACTCCCCTATCTATACCACCCTAAAAAGTGGTAAAACAGACAGTAGTGACAGTTTTTGACAGTTAGGTATTAGAACATTAATCTTTAACCTCTGTCTGGCATCAGGCAATAAGACCTTTCAGGCAACAATATAAGAATCTTCTTCTTTTCTGACAGAAAATGGTTATTTGTCAACATCTGGTCTTTAGTCTTTAGTCTTATTTCAGAACTTGAGTTTTGCATGTAAATCATTTTACAGATCAGGCTTATTTGTATGCTGACTGTTGGATTCCTGTCTCTTAGGCAGATGTACTTCAAAGGTAACACCCCTGAATAAAATCAGTCACCTGCTATGGATTGCTTATGAAGGTGGTGTGGGGGAGGGGAGGGGGTGCAGAGAGACTATTTTTTTTCCTCCAATATACAAAGAGCTTATAAAAATCTTGATTACGCTTTGATTTTCTTTGGGATGCAAATGTTGTGGAATGAGAAATATGAAGGCACTGAAAACTGATATTTTCAGAAGCATTTTGTGGACAGAAGAAAAAATAACACTATCAGCTGCCAGGAAGTAAAGGTAAAAAACAGTCAACAGGTTACAGGGTGATCAGATAATTAATTTAATCAATGCAGCATATGGGGACATACAAGGCTGAGTTCATTATAAGTGTAACCTGACAAGTACATTTGAAATAAAGACATCAGTGCAGCAGGGAAGCTCTTTTCACCGTTATTATTGTAATCAATCTTAGACTGGATAATGAAGATAACAGTGCTAAAACCAGCAATGCAACTGAGTGTATTTGAAGAGCAGCTTGATGATCTGAACTTCACTAATGACATTGCTCTTCTGTCCCACACACAAAATCGGATGCAAGATTAATTAAACATACTTAATGAAAAACCATAACAATGTATTCTAAACATTCATAGCGAAAGGCAAAGATAATAGGTAAATTATTATCTTAGTTCAAGATATTGAATTATTCAACATATTTAGCAAGGTAGAACAATTTATGGATGCTGTTGATGTTATACATGGGGAAGTCAATAAGGAAGTCACAAATGGTTATGGGATGGCCAGAATGTGACAGCAATATTGAAAATTATGTCTCCATTCATTAGGTGGTGCTAGGTGTTGCATGCGCATTCACAACACAGAAACAAAATAGAGACTGTACTAACAGATTATACACTCAAAGAACAATGTGCTGTTGTGTGTTTGGGGGATGGGGGGCAAAAGGACTTTCATGAGGAAATGCTTCCTGTTTAAAGGGGTGCATAACTGGGTAAAAAAATTGTCTCAAGGAAACTATAGTTGTTTATGAAGTCCGATCTGGTCATCCTATTGAGTACTGCTCCTTCATGACAATGCTAGACCATATATGGCTTGGTTAACTCAGGAAAAAGTTAACCATCAAGGGTGGAAACTTCTGGATCATCCACCTTACAGCCCAGACTAAGCCCCTAGCAGTTTCCACCTTTTTGGTCTACTGAAAACCCACCTTGGCTGGAGACATTTCATGAATGAAGCAGAAATTGAATGTGAAGTGAAAATTTGGTTTAGAAAACAAAGGATGCAGTTCTATGCAGCAGGTTTGGAAGGAGTGATAAAACGATGAGACAAGTGCATCAATGTTGGTAGAAATTATGTTGAAAAATAAAGGGATAGTGTGTGTGTAGAAATAAAGTTTTCAAGTTATTTCTTCATTTTTTTTGGTTTTGATTTTTTAAACAACCCTTTGTGACTTACTAATTGACCTTCCCTCAAAATAACAGCAGGATCCTTCATAGTGGTAAAAATGTGAGGAAGAAATTTTTTTTTTCAACTCTTGAACCAAACTTAGAATATTTAACTCTAATTTCGAAGCAATGCTGCTATATGGATTAGAAACATGGAGAATGACTAACCTGTCAGTAAAAAACTAAAAGCATTCACTGTTATGGTAAAATCAGTGCGGAGCTCAGGAGTGAACTAAATAATTCCCAATGAATCAAACCAGTAGCACATTTAATAGAGAATTAGAGACAGAGATAGATACTGTCAAAATATACTACAGCATCTACAGAGACAGTAAAAGATAGGATGGTTTGCGCGAGCTGGATGAAAAAGAAGACTGATAAGCATGAGGAAAAAACTAGATTTAGAAACCACTGTTACATAAAAAGCCAGCTTTTCATACTTAAAAATATAAATCTGAATGATAACCAAGAATATCATCTGTTCAAAGATTTCACAAAATCATCATCAGGAGTCCACTTTAAATTTTACTATGAGAATTGTAGATGATGCTATTCTTCTTCATCATTCATCCAAAGATGTTATTGCATTGTGCCCTTTTCCAGCATTGCTATGATATTTGCACATTTCAGCTGACATATCTGACTTCTGCAGGCATGTGTTGACTGGGTTAGACTTTCTGGTGATTATGCTGTTCAGCTGAATCTTATACAGAAAGAACTAGTAATTTTGTTGCCTGAAAAGGAAAACCTTTTAACCCTTTCACCCAATTAAAATCTTTTGTCCCTTAAAATGTTGTTAAATAGCAAGCACATCATTTTTATTCTCTGAAACAAAACCTTCAGAAACTGGAGGAAGAGAAGAAGCAGATGAAATTTGGAGTCTTGGTCAGTGGTTTTAATAAAAATCCAGGGTATTGAAACCTATGACAACTGAGCAGACAGGCAAAGTCTGCTTGCTATTGCATTATCATGTTCCCCAAGTCACCATAAAGATGGATTTTTTCATCTTTGGAGTCATTATTTTGCATAAAGGTTACTTTTTTTATATATTTTTAATACGTACAAAAGACCTATTCATGGCTGCCCAAAGATTTCATGTTGTCAAAAGTTGTACACACACACAAAAAACAGTCAGGAAAACTGGCTTTTTTTGGGTTGACAAGGCCAGAGGTACAGAATGATTAAACAAGGTCCCTGTTATCACTTACCTCAGTGTAGCTTAAGAAATAAATTATGGAAGGAGAAAGAAGAAATATTTTATGTTAACAAGAAATAATTTATAGTCTGTGTTCCTCTTAACTGTGGTTGTTGTCATATCTAGGGCTTTTTTCTATAAAAACAAAAAAAACAAGATGCTGGTGCTCAAAGTGTCTACAAGAGGTGCTGGTGCTCAAAGTGTCTACAAGAGGTGCTGGTGCTCAAAGTGTCTACAAGAGGTGCTGATGCTCAAAGTGTCTACAAGAGATGCTGGTCTACAATAGGTGCTCAAAGTGTCCTACAAGAGGTGCTGATGCTCAAAAAGAGGTGCTCTACTACAAGAGGTGCTGATGCTCAAAGTGTCTACAAGAGGTGCTGGTGCTCAAAGTGTCTACAAGAGGTGCTGGTGCTCAGTGTCTACAATTGGTGCTGATGCTCAAAGTGTCTACAAGAGGTGCTGATGCTCAAAGTGTCTACAAGAGGTGCTGATGCTCAAAGTGTCTACAAGAGGTGCTGGTGCTCAAAGTGTCTACAAGAGGTGCTGATGCTCAAAGTGTCTACAAGAGGTGCTGATGCTCAAAGTGTCTACAAGAGGTGCTGGTGCTCAAAGTGTCTACAAGAGGTGCTGGTGCTCAGTGTCTACAATTGGTGCTGATGCTTACTACAAAGAGTTTATTAGATTAACACTGACAACAAAAAAGATGCTTTAAAAATGTGGGGAGCACCAGAAAAAACCCTGGTCCTATCTGTTATTTTTGCTTTCCACTGCTAGTTATTTTTCATCTAATGGTGATATTTTTTCTAATTACTGATGATACTTCAGGTCATGTGCAGCTAGCTCAAGTACCAGATAGAGGGGAACCAGACAACAGTGGAGAAATCAATTTTCCTTATATATTCAGTGTCTTGGACAAACTTGGTTATGATGGCTATATTGGACTAGAATACAAGCCAAGAGGTAAATCCTATGTATCTCAGTGCTCTTCGCATTCTCACCTCTGGAAAAATGAATGTTATCTTGTTTTGTTATATTCTGATTTAAAAAAAAAAAGAATAACTATAATTGACCACCTTTCTTGTTACACTGAAATGCTGCATATTTTGATAGGCTGAATAACCTGTCATCTGGTAAATATTTATAGATAAAATATTTACAAGAATAGTCACAGCAACAAAAATTAGCATACTAGTGGAACCTGGTGAGGAATGGGTACAAGTACCAACAGAGTGCTATACAACCTTTTCTGTTTGTATCCAACTAAACAGAAAATGCAGACAAGAAAGTCCAGCCGCTGTGGAGGCAGAAGTGCAGGTTTTGATTTTTCACGAATTCTCTACAGGGGGATGACATTTAGACAGATGGGTCTGTAATTCGACATGGTTTGCTTTTATGGCTCAGGTTGGAGTTAGAATTGTGAAGCAAGATTTTGGAGCACTTGCCTTGACCACAAGTCTGACTGAGGAGGTCATGGAAGTGACCAAAGCAATAACATGGCTGGAGGCACAGACCTTTTCCCATTCATGCTCTCTCAGTGAGTAGGCTCAGGAAGATAGAGAAGGGCTGGGTCCAAAGACAGTGGTTGGAGTCTCTAAAGCGGTTGGGGCTGACACATAATAGTTTCATATTTGTGCCAGTGTGCGCTGGCATGCAAGGAAATGAACAAGCTGATCGGCTTACCGGTAAAGCTAATGTGGAGGGCAGATGAGCCATGGACCGTGCTGATGTTCTCAATGCTCTACATTTGCGAGAACCAACTGATGACTGTGAATCTGCAACCATGACCAGACTGCAAGAACAACATGTTAAAAGGGGTGTGGCCAGACAAGAGCACTATGCAGGAAGCCAACAAAGAATAAGAAACCAACACAGAATTGGTATCATGAGTGTATACATGTGTCCATTTGGGTTTTGGGTGAGAGTTGTAGACATGTTCAAGGGTCTTTGCATGCAGTACTAGTTCACATTCTTCAGCCTTTCTGTCTATGCCTGGGATTGTTGTGACTGTATAGTTAGGCTGTAGGTCTATGTTGTATTCCTAAATCATTTCCCACATAGAAGGATCTTTAGAAAGGATGTCACTGTTTTTGGCACAAATCAATTTTGATAGATGATGAAAGCTTTGTTTTTTCATTTGGTTTTTAGTCAAGTTGTTTGCTGTTCTGTGCATAGGGTTGTTGTTCGTGCGTTTAAAATTTGTTGTGTTAGGATAACACCTTTTCTTCCCTTCGATGGCTCATCTTTAGAGGCCAGAAGTTGCCTCCAGCTCATTGATTAGTGTACTTCTTTTATCTCCAGTGATGATTCTGAGACCAGTGTTCTGTATTTTGTCCAGTTTGTTTAGATTTGATTTGGCTGCAGTGGAGTATGCCCCCATGCCATACTCCAGTTTTGGTCAACCTTATCCTGTGAATACTTGTTGTACAGTGTTGGCGTCTGCATCCCAGCTTGTTCCAGTAGGTTTCTTTATAAGTCTGAGCCACAGGGTAGCTTTCCTTTGAACATCTTCAGTGTCGGGACCCCAGGTCAGTCTTTTTTTAAATTTTACTCCCAAATATGTGGGGTTATCCTCTTGCATGGATGTTGCCTTCTGGGTACAGATCAACTTGTTCTAACTTTGTGGAAAGAGAGAAGAGAGTTGAGACGGTTTTGGCCTGGTTAATTGTGACACCCCAAGAGTCTGTCCATTTGTTAACCTTGTATATATAGCTTTCTACATTCTTGTTTTAGGTGTTTCTGTATGTTCAGCTTGGGTCCATATGGCCAGGTCATCTGCATGTAGGGCCTTCTGAATGTGAGTTGTAAACTGTTTGGGGAGGTCATCGATGAAAAGAATAAACAGGGTAGGAGATATAAAACCTCCCTCTGGAATACTTTCTTGTAGTCTGACCAGCTTGCTCGTGTGTTCTTCTAGTCTGACTCTTGCAAGGCATCTGTAAAGAAAGTCTCTAATCCAGGCAAACGTATGCTATTGTATCCTGCTGTGTGCCAGTTTTAGCAAGAGTTTTTTCTTCCAAACCTTACTGTCCCATTTGAAAACTAATGAAAAACATGTCAGTCCTAGTAAAATCTTGAAGTTTGCACATGCAACATAAGTGCATAAGAAAGCCATCAGATATGCCAATGCTAACATTCCCACACCAGAATTGCAGCTCACTGTTGGTTCAAGCAGTCACTTATGAAAACCGGTATTATGCTGACAAACCGAATAAGTACACACTATTTTAAACGTCATTGGCCAGCTACCATTTTTAGTGCAGTTCACAACAAAAAGCCATCAAGGGTACAATATGACACCCCCCCCCCCCACACTCATTTCCACATACCCCAAAACAATGTTTAACACAGGCTACCAATACATGTTTTAAAAATATATAAACATACATTTGTTAATTTTTCCCCTCAAAATATATAGTTATTTAAAAGAAGCGATCAATAAACATGAAGAAAGTAGAGCATTAAATGGATTACTTTCCCTGGGGCCTAAAAACATGTACTGGGTGACTCAAGCCATGACTTTGAACAATGATACTGCAGGAGATTTGTGAACACCACTAATAACATTAAGCTACACTTGTAAACCGACTTCAGACAGGCCGATTCTTTATGGGGATGTGACTACAATGGAAAAGGTAGGTTCAAGGCATCCTGCGATGAAGGGCCAAGCTCTCTTTCAAGAATTCTCAAAAAGTATTCTCACTGATTTCCTGCTTTCTAGCATATATCTGGCAGCCTAATAGTTATATTTTAATTTCAGAGTTGTTTATGTGTGTGGGTCGTTCAAGAAATAATGCTTGCCTTTCCATGTTTTGCTTACAGGAAAAACAGAAGATGGACTGACATGGTTTAAGGAGCTAAACTATTAGAACTTTCAGCCAAAAAGTCTGCAGTATGTTCAAGATATGATATCATGATCACTTACTTGTGTCAGTCTTTTTCTAAATTGTAACCAGATTTGTTTAATGAAAATTGTTAGAATTTACAACTACAACTGTTTAGTGAGTTGAGCATTTACTATTGATTAATTCAATCTAATACAATAATAATTGTAATTATATTTACTGTTCTACATCGATTAAGATGTAATTCTTCATTTTCTTCTTGTGCTGCTTCTTCTCTTCCCTTTTCTCCACATGCTCATTCTGTTCATCTTGCACTGAAATACAGACCCTAAATGTAAAAAAAAAAATGCTAAGTTCTTTATATACTTGTTCTAGCCTTGTTGAATTCTGGAACAAAAAGCTTATATTGAATGAAAAAGTAATCTCACACCAACCTTCCTTATTTGACACTTATGACATGCATAATAGACTAGTTTAGTGTGAGTAGTATCCTTTGTTTTTCATCAGGGCTTTGGCTATTTAATTAGTTAGTTAACTGATTGACAGATTATCTAATCTGCACACTGCACAAGTCAGTTAGCACTCGGATCACATCTTCAGTATATCCCCCAGCATGTGGCAACTGATAAGACCAGTTTTTTTTATTGGTTTACTATTCTTGTTTGACTATCAGTATAGTGCTCTTTTGATCTGAAATTCTTGTAGTCTTTTGAGTGTTGCCGACTCACAGTTTTCTCCTGAATCGTCTCCTTGAGAGCATTAATTAAGAACGTCAGCCCAGTCCATTGCTTTTCATGTATCTACCAGCAAGCCAACCCCTTATTCATTCCCTCTTACTCCAGAGTGTCCTGGCGTGAAAATGAAACTGATTACTTTTAGATGAGATTTCCTCAGCAATAACACACTAGTGTAAAAAGATTTATTTGTTTCTTTTTCTTTTTAGAGGTAACCAGTAATTATTGTAGCCTTGTGTATGTAATAAAAAACATTTCCCTGGAAACAATTCCTTTTCACCACTACAGTTTTATCTACTGATGGTGATGCTATCATGACTCACACACACACAGGCACACACATTTATGACATAGTTATAAACTTCAGTTTCTCATCTCCAATAAAATGATGCATTTATCTTTTCTGTAATATTGTTAGTACAGAATGGCTTAATACTCTTTGTTAGTTGCCTTTAACTGAGCCCTGGTAAATAACTTTCAACTTCAATTGTAATTAGTAATATCAGCGAGTAATGCTAGCTTTCCATGAATCAAACTGATATGATTGGCAGTCAGTGTATTTTTTTGGTTTTGTTTTCTAGTACACACATTTGAATTCTCCAAATGTCTTTGAATGTTCTAAAATGCTTGTATGGAAAAGCTTATACCCTGTGCTCAGATGTCTAGTTTAAATGGGGAGGCCAAGTACATCTCATGGTGTGGTCAATAATCCTGGTGGATCATTTTCACAGATCCATCACCTAAGCCTGTGATTCTCAAACTGTGCACTGCGGCGCCACAAGGAGCTGCAACCTCTTCACAGGGGCGCAGCGAAATATTCGAAGATACTGAGTTTTATTTGTTTTTATCTCTTACATACAAATAGTCATACTTTTGCTTAGGTTAGGGCGCCGTGGAAAAATTATAATTGTAAAAAAGCACCGCAACTAAGAAAAGTTTGGGAAACAGACCTAAGCCACATGAGAATCACAAAACAAACACAGAAAACCACGACGCTGGGCTTAAACCTGGTATCAGTGAAATGACAAAAGAAAAAGAAGAAAACTTTCATACCATATATGATCTTTTTTATTTAGATCCCACCGCTCCCCCCCCCCCCCCCAACAAAACCTGTCCATGTTTTTTTTTATTTCTTAGTACACCATAGCAGTGGTGGCTCATAGCTAAAATGGTGGGGGTGCTGCTTCACTGTATATTTCTTATGAAGAGATAACAAAACAAAACCTGTTGAAGTTCACAATATCGAGTTGCAATAAGGGGCGCCACAGTTCCTCAGTGCCTATACACGAGCCACCATTGGTCATTAGATATAACAATATTTCTTCAGCCCACATAGATATAACAATTGAAGTATGGCAGGGATGCATGTTCTTCCCAAGCCCATTCAGTTTCGTACAGAAAGCATTTTGAATAAGTTAAAGAATTCCCTGAAGTGAATTTAATAGAAAAACAATGTCGATGACACAGTGCTATGGGCAGAAAGTAAACATAAATTATAAGAGCTGTTGGAATAAATAGGTGAAGTGTGGACTATGGATTAAGGATCAGTTTTGAAAAATAGCAAACTGTCATAATCAACAATAAGCAAAATGGATTTTAAAAAAATGTACATTATAATTAGTTGTGAATCTTTTACAGGACGTTGCAGAACCAACCTCAGCATTTATTTGGATGTTGTGGTTTTTCTAGGCAAAATTTTACGTTTAGTAGTTTGCCATTGCTTACTGAACGGTCAGCTCTCAGTACCACTGTCGAAATAAGGCAAGACAAATTGTCAGCAGCTGGGATCAAACCCGGCATCCGGGTATTATGAACCGCGTTTGCAACACCCAAGTCGCAGATGCCGTACATCATAGTAAATGGAGAGATATTTGACCAGGTAGCAGATTTCTTCTATCACAAACATGTAAAAACAGACTGAAGTATAAGTTTAATTAAATCAAAAAGTGAAGGGGAGTGGTCAAAACATATTTTTTACATGATAAATCCATTAACACACTGTTGTCTGTCCCTTATCAGTGATGAAGACCACACTTTCTTTCATCTGTCAGAAAACTAGTTTCTTGACAGGACTTGATAGGTGGGTTGGATGAAATATATGAAAGAATAGTAGAAGTCTTCTTCTTTTGTTGTCTCACTGATACCAGGTTCTGTTCTATTATAATTCAATGTTTCTTGAGTAGTAGCTATCAAATATACCACTGCCGGCTTGCTAGGCCCGCCGTGTGGCGGGGCAGGAAAAATCTGACCTGGTTGGTGCCCGTCTCCTTCCAGGCGAGCCTTTGCCCTGTTAGCCTGAAACCTCGCAGCTTAAATTTTCCGGCATGCACCATGAGGAGATGTGATTGACCTGGGTGCTCTACGGGTCATTGGCAGACTAATTGAATTTCACTTTTCACTTCTCCGAAGAGAAGCTAGCCAACCTTAACACTGCTAAGTTGTAGTAGTAGTAATTTTTCATATATATTGTGTTCAACCTTTGGGGTTATAATTACGATATATAATGTTCATCAAGTTCTATAAGTATATATTTGTTCTTAAAATTGTTTTAAGATAAATGTGAATTGTATTTAATATTGCTTTGATTTGGGTTGTAATTATGAAATAAACTGTACTATGAATAATTTAGATAATAATATTAACATTGTGTCATAAAAGTGATTTATTTTTAATTTGTACTACGAATAATTAGACAATCTAACTAACACTTGGTCATTAAAATGCTAGATTTATTATTCCTTTGGTATAAAAATATAATGTCCTCATCAATCTTATCTTATCTGCCCGGCTCTCTAGCGTATTTGGCTAAACCGGATTGCGCTGAGACCGGGTGACAAACTCCTTGTAGTCCGGGTTCAATCCCGGGGGTAGGCAGGAAAGCCACATTTTCTCTCAGATTTACGGTATCTACAATGGAATCAAGGCCGCAAGGTTGCGATATCCATAATACCGAGCCTAAGGGTTAACAACTCATGACTTCTGGATACTAAAACAAACAAACATCAATTTTATCTTTAGTGGAAATTTCTTCAAAGATGGCATGGGCATTGTTTATCCTTCTATAAATTGATTTTAGTTCCAGTAATGAATTGCTTGACTGCCACACAGCTCTCTGTGGCTGTCTATGTGCAACAGCTTGTCCACTGTCATAGGTAGTTTGCAGAGATTCATATAGTCTGATAGTGGTTTTCTTTGGATTTCATAATTTGTACACTCCAGCAGATAATGTTCTATATTGTTATGCTTTTGACATAGATCAAAGGTTTTTGTTCTGTATCATAAAGCAACCCCATCCAAGTTGTTTCAAGGTATGATTTAAGTATCTGGGCACATGGATAACATCATTTGGAAGATGCATTACTGAGATAGAAATCGAATAGGACAAGCAAAAACTCTAATTTAACTCTACATAGACTTTTCTAATATCTGTTCTTGCATGATCTCATGTCTAGCCTTTGTAAGATCTTTTCTACTTCCTTAACTGTAGAATATAAACTGTATGTGTCCTATCGTGCGCATACTATTCACTAATTTAATGTTGGGTTTGAAAGTAATTCTTGCTACAACCTGTCCAAACAGGAGATCTACAGACAGGAGCACTAACTCTACAGGGTACCATCACAAATAACAAAAGACGAAGACAGAGGAGGTTATAGAGAACCTAAAACAACACGGGATGCACCTAAAGGGGTCTCCCCACTCCTGGGTATCCCCACAAGTGACAAGGGAAAGATGATGTTGATAGAGAGGTTACCACACATATACACACTAAACAGGGATACTTCACTGATGGAATCACCCAAATAACAGAAAAAGAAGAAAATGCACTTTATTTAACAAACTGACATGCCGCCATCTTAGATCTGAACCGAAACAAACTGCCAGCAGCCTTACCCACCACCAGCTGCTTCATTAATTAAACACCCATCTTTAACAGGCACCAAAACCTCGGATTTAAGGAATGATGGAAAATATTCTTACCTGTAAACTTTACTGCTGAATTACATTACTTTTCCACAAATGCATCACTCAAATCAGACAAATGCACTTTGACACTTACTGAAATTGTTCTTCTTCTTACATCACTGTTATTTCTGAAGTGTTTGGTGGCCAGCTAGACTCCATCTTGCTTTATTTGTGTATATGTGTGTCACAACGGTAAAGAAGGTAGTTTTTTTGTGGCAGAGATTCATAGAGCAGACAGACCTAACGGTAGGCACATCAGAGAAGGCGGTTACTAGTGGTCTTGCCAGAGTAGCCAGAAAAAGGATATATCTAGAGCATCGTGAA